CGGCCGAAATAACGCGGCTCGGAGATGTCCGAATCCTGCAATAAAAATAGGCCTTCGAATTCTATGAAAAACGGTTAATAAAGGCTACCCTCAGCAAAATGATCAAAGGGCTTCGATAAAATCAGCACTTGAAAAACCTTACGGGGTATCGAATTATTCAAATACAAACTTGTACTAAGGCATAAAAAACAAAAGGGTTCCGATCGAGACTAAACCCTCAAAAAACCCAATGGGTAAAAAATGCATGCCAAGGCATAAAGAAATTTTTACTAAGTCTTTAATAATATCCATCTTTCAAAGGCCATATCAGCCCAACCTAAAAGAACCTAAGGGCTAAAACATGTAGAGTTCGAGACCTTGTTCTCACTCAACTCGGACCTAAGGGTCCCATCATCCCAAGCTCGCATCAAATCGACTTGAGCATAGCTCGAGGATTCATCAAAAACCATTAAGAAGTATTCTATTATAAGTTCAAAGATTGCCCACTGATTACTAAAAAAAACTAAGGGTTTGTTCTACTCTGAGTTCGAGCTAGTGCCCACTCGATTGTTGAAGTTATAACATCAAAAATTTTCACAAAATAAAAATGAAGCAGACTTCGAAATAAATCAGAGATGGAACGAAAAGAAAGGTAATTCCTTATATTCATAAAAGGTATTTACAGTGCCCCCAAGGGGCCTTACACAAAAAACAAAAAACAAAATCCTAAGAGCCATTCTACTTGGGGAACCGCATCCCCGGAAACCGCATCTTCGGGAACCTCCTCCTCAGGGACTTCATCCTCATCTCCTCCACTCTCGGAACCACTAGCAGAGTCTTCATCATCAGAGAGTAAAGCGATAGCCTCATCCTCCAAAGTTTTTTGCCTTTTCAATATCAGCTGAGTGGTCAAAGCCACGAACGTGCACTTCCTCAAGAGTTTCTCTCTGGGATTATCACCTTGACTTCAGCAACGATGGAGATCTCCTATGCTCGAATGTTAGCAGCCTCGGCATCAACTTGATAAGAGGCCACAAATGCCTACGCCTCAGATTTGGCCTTCGCAAGCTCGGCGACCGATTTAACTTCGAGCTCCTCAATCTTTCGGCTCCGGGCCAAATTTTCCCCTTTGCATTTTGAAGCTAGCATTTGATCGAAGCCAACTGGGCCCGAAGCGTGTCTTTCTCCAAGGCAAGACGACCCATATGCTACTTCCACCCCAGGGTATCGACCTTTTTTGTCTTGACCTCTTCTCGAAGCTGCTCCACCAGCTCGCCCTTCTACTGGGCCTGCAAAGTCGAAAGTGTTAATCACTAAATCAAATGAACACGTAACAAACTCCCAAAAGTTGCATTACCTGCTTAATGAGCTCAGTCTGTTCCTGATGAGCCCTCTCCAGTTCAGCTCGAAAATCCCTGATCTCCCCCTCTTTTTGAACATAGAGGATCTTAAGGTTGTCCCTCTCTTCCACGAGCTTCTTGAGTTCGGCCTCACATCGAGTAAGCTTGGCTCGATATTTGGAAAATGCTTCTCGATAGCGCGTTACATCCTTTCACACAAAAGGAAAAAGTTAGACTTGGAACAACAAGAATAAAACTCAAGCATAATTTTGAGGGCAGAAACTTACTTGTTTTAGAAGCCGCTTGGCCTCGTCAAAGATAAACGAAGCATATGGGTCGGGACCATCTTCGACGCAAAGCATTCCCGAAAAATATCATTCCCTTCATGGGTCGTCCCCACGTCGGGAGTCTTCATGGCCCGAACATCTCGGAACTGTCCTTTAGAAAACACAGGGCCAGGCGGGGATTCATCTATGTTAATTATCCCAAGTGATTCACTTGGGAGATTCTCTTCTCTTTGGGGGGCCTCAAAATTAGGTTTCTCGGGCTCGCCTGTCAGATGTCCTCCAAGGCGAGGAGCGCTTTTACCACCCAATAGCTCGGGGACTCTGCTTGAGCTCCCCTCCAAGATTTCTTCGATTCGAGATTGAACCGCACCAGCCACTGTTGGTTCGTCAACCTTCGAAGCCTCAGTGCTCCCTCTCTTCCAAGCTACCAACAAGCAGTCGACATCTTCTCCCTCTTCGTCGTCATCCCGAAGGTGTTGGAATGCTTTTGCAGATAGGGCTGCAGGATCAGCCCTAGGCTTTCGAGCCTTATTTTTCTTGGGCTTCGGAGAACTTGCTGGCGAAGCCCTTTTCCTTTTCTTCTCCTTGGTTGGCTTCGGGATTTCCTCTTCACCGGGAGGAGGCGACCTCATAATAGTGTCTCCGAGGCTTGTGTAAAGGGAAAATAAGTATTTTACAGAGAAACGTCAATATATGAACAAGGGAACTCACCATGATTTTTAGCTTCCTACTGACCCTTGGCCAAATCACGCCAACAACATTCTGTGTGTGAAGAAGTGGAGGCCAGTTGTCGAACCCAAACTGCGAGGTCCAAAATCGGACCGGGAAACCAAGGGGAAGTTGCACCATTGAAAAGGAATTAGATCGAAGAAGAACAGGGAAGGCAGAGTAAAAAACATCATCGATAGGGTTGTACATACGTTTCATGTTCCATCCCTAGGGGAATGGCATCCTTTCGGCAGAAATTAAGTCGGAGGTCTTGATTCGGACAAACCGGCTCATCCATCCCCAGTCCTTGTCCTCATCGATACTAGAGAATAGCGCCTTCGAGGATCGATGCTGGAGATTTATCAAATCACCTCGATAGAGGCGAGGGCTGTATAGCCTGATCAGGTGGTCGAGTGTAAAAGACATCCCCTTGACCTTGCCCGAGAAGTACCTAAGCAAATTGACGATGCGCTAGAAAGAAGGGTAGATCTGGCCAAGGGTCACTCGATACTGGTGACAAAAATCGAGAATGATTGGATCTACAGGACCTAGTGCCAGATCTACGGGACCTAGTGTAAAAGGATAAGTATACACACTTAGGTATCCTTTCACAAGGGTAGTGATGTCCTCCTCTGGGGAAGGAATCACCACTTCCTTGTTATCCAAATTGCAGTCCTCTTTCACCTCTTGAGATCGACTTTAGATATCGAGAAGATGTATCGGGACATAGGCTTACATCAACCTAGAACTGATGGAGGCTTATCGATTTTGAAATTGGAAGATAGCTCGCATGGCCCAGGAATGCATTCCTCGATACGAGGTGGCGCCGTCGTTCTACCACCGGCCGACCGCGATGACTAGGAGGCTTTTTCTTTCCGAGGAACGGTTTTAGATGTTTTAGCCATTGCTGTTGAGAAATTTAAAAGAAGAGAGGAAGTTGATGTTGTAGCGAGAACAAGTTGAAGAAAGGATGAACTTAGAGAAGATGAAGAAGCTAGTGAGGTTTTGAGAAGTAAAGATTGTAAAAGTTGTGAAATTGACCTATTTATAGTGGTCGCTTTAACGGTTTGGGGAAGCCAATGGCCGACTATCAGTCGCCCTCAATTAATGGCCTTGGAAACTATACAGACGCGACCTTTCAATCACTTCAGTCGCTGACGCCACGAGATTGACATCATGATTGAGGCATCGAAGGATCGAGGATCAAATCGTTTCTTATCATCTTACTTTAAGAAACACGGGGACTATCTGTATACGGTCGAAATCAGGTATGCCCGATTTCATGGGCTCGAAGAGTCCCTTCGAGCCCGATGACAGAGTACAAGACTCGAAGATCGAAGTACAAGATAAGCACCGAGGCCGAGTATGACCAACCCCGAGATGATGTTATTATGGGTTTGTAACAAATAGAGCAAGATTCCCGCAACGTCCCTAAGATCACGATGTAAATTCTGGAATAGGTTTGTACGAGTTTGTACGAATTTGTACTAGGCGGTTAGATAGTTGTCCCTATAAGATTCCTTACTAAAAATGGAAATGTACCTTATAAAGGACTCCCTTATTATATAAAGGAGAGCCATTCATTTGTAAGACCATCAATCATTAGAAAACGAATATGCATTTTTTTTACTCTCTTGCTCATTACTCATCAGAATTGTCCTTTAACTTTACTGTTCTTACTGACCTACCTCGAGGCCACCTTAGCTTGAAGTCAAGACTTGCTTGCACACTGGTTTGATTAAACTTACTTCTTTGATTTATACGTTTGATTTCTTGATTATCAGTTAGTATTGAACTAAATCACATATCTTTAAGACCCCAATATAAATTTAATTGTTACTCAGATTTTAGAGGTAAACAAATATATAAATATATAATTTTTAAATATACTTTAAGATTTTATATAGAATTTTCTTTAAAAAATATCTAGAACTATTTGGAATCCTCTAATGGGATGTAATATTTAATAGAACTATGTAGTATATTCATTTTTATTTATTTTAAATAATGGATTGTACCATCACTTTCTTATCAAGTGTTATTAAAATGCATCAATCTCTTTATTCTTCCATATTCATATGTCAAGATTTATTAAATTTTTATATCTTTTTTGAATTTAAAATGATATTTCGATGATTTATAATTAAATAGAACATCTCATTATTTAGGTATCATATCGTTTTTGTGTTTAATTATTAAATTCGTTTAACTTTGAAAGCGTACATCAATGAAAAATTATTGTTAGATGACTAAGAAAATAACTATCATGTGTTACAAAAAAAATCCCCATAAGAATATTTTAATAGATCACGTGTTTGTTAGTTTTTAAATTTTTACTAAACATATATTCACTTATCAATACTTTATCTATAACTTTAACAAAGTAATAATGAAATAATATTCATGTAACGAAAAAACCCTGAAAAACCCGATAAAATCGAACCAATCCAAAATCGATATAGTTGATTTGGTTTGGTTTTAATAAAAATTGAACCAACTCGATCAATGTACATCTCTAGTTATTACATATTATATAATTTGCTTTGTTTTCAAGTTATTAGTCACTCTTTTTACGGATCAACAATTATATTTTAGGTAATTTAGTAATATGCAAACTTTTAGCAATATTAACAGAGTAAAAGTTGAACTCCTCATCTAAAATACTGCAAAACTTCTTTTTTCATTCTGTACAGCAAAACTTCATTATCTTATAACAATTTGTATCCATACAAAATGAGACATCTAAGTTTCAACAGAGTAAATATTAATTAGTACTTCTGTTATTTATTCAACCAAACATGTGTGGCTGATATATACATGAAATTCAAAAGCAAATTAACTTGTCAATTAATTTTCTAGCCTAGACTAGAATTGCCAAAAAGATGAAGAAACCAGCAAGAATGTGAAGCATTGCATCCAAACCAATTCTAACTCCAGCACTCTCTAAACCAATTGGGAATAGGCATGAACCAGTTGAAGCATTTTTTTCTACAATCTGTGCCAATCCATCAAATACACAAGATTCCACATCTTGGTTGTTCATTTGATAATACATGTTGAATGCATAAGAAACATTTCCATCTGCATCCAACTTGTTGCATGATCCTCCATAAGACAATGCCGTGCAATCAGACCTAGAGCAAGCATATTGTACGCTCGAAGGTAGTTTACCTGATCAATAATAACAACGACGCCTCAATATATAAGAGTCGGTTATACTTAAAAGTGACAAAGTTAATCTATTTCTTGGTACCCTTCCTAACCCGCCAAATTTAACAAACTGAATTATTATCCGTTTGTTGACTCGATCCAACAGATTGAACCTAAAATGATCCATCAAATTATTGGATCAAAAGTGTCAATAGTATAACCTGATGTATCAAAATACAATTCATACACCAAACATACCAAAACAAATTTGGAGGTTGAAAATTATGTAAATTTGGAAAGAACTTAGCTAATATTTTAAGAAAAATACTAGCTTTCATTTTTCTTGGTGCAAAAGAAAAATAGAAAAGGAAGGAAGGTTGAGTTATGTTGGACATGTTATGTTATGATATGTTATTTGACACATCTTGATCAAGTGAGTTGGGCTGTCTAAGTTTGACTCAACCTGTTCATTTGCCATCTCTAATCTTTTTGTATTTTTTATAATGGGGTAGGGGATTATAAGATGGGGAATCGAACCCTAACCAACAAGGTGAAAGTTCAGGTAGACAACCAACTGAGCTGCTAAGATTCCCCATTCATCACTACTCATGTTGCTTCGTTTAAGTTCATCATGCTCTAATATCGTTACTCGACCAATCTAGCCCATTTTTGCCTAGTTATATTAATTATAAGCATTGCTCATGTCGCTTCATTTAAGCTCATCTTAATCGAATATCATATAAAATAAAATTTAAGCAAAAAAGAAAGTACTAGAAGTTCAAAGTTTACCTATATCTTCAGCATATTTGTTCAAAACACACCATTTGTTCTCCAAATATTTGATGTTCTTTGCACCAACAGGCATTGACTCATGTCCTTGTCCTGTGAAATCCATTGGAAACTTAGGTTGTCCATCATATTTAAAAACACCCCAATGTCGTTCAAAACTTCCAGGTGCAATACTCTTTTGGTTCTCATCTGTTAAACTAAAGAGATAATACTCAATATATCCAGGGTAAAGTGGAGTTCCTTTCTTTGAAGCCATTTTCTTGAAAAATCCACTATAGAATTTTTTGGCCAATGTAACATTTGCATATAAATCTCCATCTGTTGGCCAACCAATTTCTCCAATAATCACCTTTACACCCGGAGAACCAGCTTTTTTTAATGATACAACTAAAGTATCTAAATTGGCATCAAACATGTTAGTGTACGATATTCCATTGTCACGTACAAGCTTGGCTTTATCATCGAAAAATGCAAATTCTATAGGGAAATTTTTGTTCTCGTGAAGACTAAGAAAAGGGTATATATTTACGAGGAACGGAGCATTGTTGTCCTTGAAAAATCGACAGATTTTCTGCATTAAGTCTCTAATATCTGATCGAAAATCGCCCTGTGATGGACCTGAATTACCAGATTCATAAACATCGGCATTTTGTGGGATTGTAGCTTTGATTTTGTCTCCAAGTCCAGCAGAATTGAGAGCTTTTTGAACATTTTGTAACGCTGGAAATGTTGATTTCATGAATGAACTATTGTATGATTTCAAGAATGGTTCATTTCCAACAGCAACGTACCTTTGAAACATTAACAAGTTATAGTCAATCCATATAAATAATATTCATTATTCAAAGTAATTGCTATAAAATAACAGTACAATAAAGGATTTAACTTACACACATTAATAATGCAAAAATCTTTCTCTACTTTATCAGCGTATTTTAATTTGTTGTTAGGTTACCTAACCCATTTTTTTTGTTACTAATCCAACTTATTATGAACAATTAATTACATGTAGTTATCTTTTAAGAGATTTGATCGGGTAAAAATTCTTTTACCAGCATCTAGAAGTTAAACTCTACAATAAAATAGTTCATTTCCGATAATGGAAACCTTAATATTTTCTGTCTTAGCTAAACAAATTTGGTCCAAAATATAATTGTCGCTTTAGGAAATAAAGACCCTTGCTCGAGTAAATGATCTATATAATTTAGTAAAGCGTCTTAGTAATGTTCAGCAAAAACTATTTGAGAAGAGATAATAAGTAATTTAGTCAAATAACCCTTATAATTAATGTTGGTATTGAATTTTAAACAACAAATAACAAGGAGCATAGAGTTATTTTAATATTTTTCGTGAATAATGAGATAAAAGAAGAATGAAAAGATAGAAAAAGGGTTCTTACTTAATATTAACACCTCCATCATACAAATGTATGCTGACATTATTTTTCACCCAATCCTTGGCAAAGTCATAATCATCCGCAAATTTTCCCAACTGATTATTTGGAATTCCAAGCATAACCTCAATACCAGTACCAGCAAAGTACTTAACAGTCCAATGATCAGAATCAAATAATTTGATCTTATCAATCTTATTATCCTTGAGCATTTGTACAATTGTTGTAGGGTGCAAAGTTTGTGCAGCTTGTGTACCCCAATTGACACCAAGACCATTGGCAAAACTAGTCGATAGCGCCAAGCAACATACCCATATCAACATCTTAATATGAGCCATTGCTAGTGCTGACTAGCCGCTATAGGTAGATTATATTCAGTGCTTATAATTCTGATATAATTATGCACCAAATAGTTATATAAAAAAATAATTAAAGTATAGGGGATGTTAAGAAAATGATGAAATGGGAAGGAGATGGTTTGAAGGGAGAAATGAGAATGAATAAAGTTGAGATAGTTTTATTCAAAGCTTTGAAGATAAGAGAAAATATGGATGCATGAGCTAATATCAAGGAGAGAGTAAAGCGGACAAGCATTACTTTTTATTTCTTTTCTTTTTCTTTGGTTTCCTACAACTTTTGAAATTATGGAAGAGAGGAGTTTATGATTTTGTTCGTTAGAATTTAATTTCTCTGTATTGTATTTCTTTTTTAGCAAGACAAAAATTGTTGCTTTTTTTATGCATTTATTTTTTAAGGGATAAAAAGGAAAATGAAGGCTAAAAATACTTATTTTCATGTATTTTATTATCTGATGTGAAAAAAGACCTTCAACTTATTTGCAAGACAAATATTTTATCTACAAGCTGTTTTCATGTTTTTTAAAAGCTTTATTTTTCTTTCTCCAAATTTTTGAAAATTCGTCCAAAAATTATCTTTATTTTTTGTTTTCACCACGTATCTGAGAGGCTTGATTAATCCGAATTCGCGCGACGTAAGATCCATTAAAATAATTTTTTTCAATCTAACCTGATTAAGGAGGAAAGAATCCTATCCGTTCTACCACAACTTTGTAAGTTAGAGAAAACTATTAAACGAAGCACATGGCCAAAAATTTCACCCTTTTTTATTCTTTTTTTTTTTATGAAAAAAGAAATTAATACATAGTTACACTCCTATTTATTTATTGCAATACGTAACGTTAGTCTTAAATGGTAACACATACAAAGTTTGCTTGTGAAAACCAAACAGCATTTTTCTTAAAGAGAATTAACGATATTGCTTCGTAGATATTGTACCCACATGCAGAAACGTCTGTACTTCGGTGAGTTCTGACATGTAATATAGATAGCAACGGTTTTCAAGAAGCAGAAGCTAACTCTCTGCTGCCTCTCACTTCCAACTTCCCAAGAACTGGTAATTTTAACCCAACCCCATTAATATTTTTGAATTTCTCGACTATTTTTCTTTTTGTGGTCTCCCCTCCC